CAGCAAGTTGTTCGAGACGGAGAAGACCTACCGCCCGAAGAAGAAGCACAAAGAGGGCACCCAGCGCTACAACCTCCACAAGTACGCCAAGACCCTCGTCCGCTCTGGCGACCTGGCGAAGTCGGTCCAACTGCCCCCGGGCGCCGATATTCATCACTGGCTTTCCGCCCAAACCATCGATTTCTACAACATCACCAACGTCTTGTACGGGTCGCTGACGGAGTTCTGCACGCAAATCACCTGCCCGATCATGTCCTCCGGGCCCCGCTTTGAGTACATGTGGCGTGACCCCCCGGACTACCAAAAGGCAACCAAAGTCAGCGCCCCAAAGTACATCCGCCTGCTCATGGAGTGGATCGAGCGCCAGATCAACGACGAGCGGATCTTCCCCACGGAGGACCAGAACCCCTACTCGGAGGACTTTTTTGACCGCGTTCGCAACATCATTCGCCGGCTCTTTCGCGTCTACGCGCATGTCTATTACTCGCATTTTATCCAAATTCGCGACCTGAAGGAGGAATCCCACCTCAACACGGCGTTTAAGCACTTTATGTACTTCGTGTGGGAGTTCGATTTGATCCCGCGCGATGAGCTGACCCCGCTTTACGATCTTCTGATCAACATTATCGGTCAATGGGCGAAGGATAAGTTAGATGGGCCGCGATTATTGTAGCCTGGAAGGGATCGACCGCTATCGCGTAGACCGATCACACGCACGATTGTGTAATTGTGCCTTTCTCTTGTAATCCACTTTGTTGGGGGGGGGAGGGGGGGTATGTGTGAGGGCGAACTCGTCGTAGGCTCCAACGATGCGTTCAGAAGGTCTTTTATTATTGTCTTTCCCTAAATTTGAACCGTGTGGCAAAAAGCAGGCCGTGTCTTTTAATTCTTTAAAATGAGAAATTTTCTATATTGTAAAAGAGTTTTCTGTTATAGCACTGAATGTCCTTTAGCTTTATTAAGTAATAAATCAATGTTAGGGATAAAAGCGTGGTGGAGTTATTCTCTGTCATTGTTAGCCTTTATTACATAGTACGGACACTTCTTTGTCTTGATGAATCGATTAAAGCGAAGAAGTTGAAATTTTACTTGGAATTTTAAGTATTTGCCTTTTGAAATGAATCCATCTTTACCAAACTATTCTGTTGGGTTTTTATATCACTCATATTCCCCCAATGAAAACGAAAACGGATTCATTCGTCACAGTCCGAATAACAAGCAGGGACCGATAGGGTGTGAATGGGTATAAAATTGAAGCGAATACTTTTCAGGCTGTCAATATAAACAGTTTCTTTTTCTGATGTCAAGGAATCTATTTATGGGTAGCCGTACTTTTCTTTTCAAAAATGACATTCGATGTTTATCAATGGTGTGTGTGTGTTTCTCCCACTCGTCTAATCCCCAATGAAATTCCTCTTCGCCGAGGATTGTCGCCGCGCGCTTTCCACAGCCCCTGTTGAACTCCTTTCCTCCCTCCTCTCTCATCCCAACAGCATATGTTCAAGTCATTTTTCCTCGCACAGCAAACCCGTTGATAGTCTTGTTCGTCCTTGCCGGCACACCCCTCTATCCCGATCGATAGCGTTCTATTGCGAGAGAGAGTGAGAGATAGTGATATCCCTAGAGAGATATAGCGAGCGAGATTGCTATCTATCGAGATATATAGTGAGCGATATTTCTATCTCTAGAGATATATAGTGAGAGATATTGCTATCTATCGAGATATATAGCGAGAGATATTGCTATCTATCAAGATATATAGCGAGAGATATTGCTATCTATCGAGATATATAGTGAGAGATATTGCTATCTCTAGAGAGATATAGCGAGCGAGATTGCTATTTATCGAGCGAGAGCGCGAGAGTGATTCA